GCTACCGGGCCCTGCGGAGCGCAGGGCTGGGGGCATCAGGAGACCAGAGGGCTGTCCGCGGGAGGTCCCGCTCCGCCGGGTTACGCGTAGACCCAGGAACGCGGTGGGCACGACGTCCGGTTCCGAGTGGGAGAAGGGACGCAGAGGGTCCTAGGAGCTGGACTTTACGGGAGGGGTCCTAAGGCCGAATCCGAGAGAGACAGCGGGACAGAGACAAGAGACAGGGGACAAGGCAGGCCAAGAACGAGGCCGAACAGAGGCAGAGACGCAGTGGAGACAGGGACACAGAGGCCCAACCGGTAGAGAAAGGTCAGGCCTAGGGGACAGACGGGGCGCAGAGGCCCCCGTCCTCGCCGGGGGAGGAGCCACAGCACCCTCTGCGGGTTCTGGCAGGGGCGGGGAAACCAGTGTCGCCGAGCCCCGAGCGGGTCTGTGGACCAAAGTGGTGGCCACAGCGCCTCTCGGTGAGCCATAGCGCTCTCTGGCGGATTCTAGGAGCCCCTGGGGAGTGGAGTCACAGCGGCACTCGGTGTGTTCTCAGACCGACAGTGCCTCCTGGATTCACAGGGGGCTTCGTAACCGTTTGGGGGGGATACACAGTGCCTTGTAGAAAGGTAAGAGTGCTCTCTGATGGGCTACGGCATCACGAGGAGGCGGCCCTCGGGGTGTTAGCAGAGGCCCCCACCAGAAGGCTCACAGCCTTCTGTAGGTATCACGGTGCCCCTGGGAGGGGGCAGATAGCGCGAGTGTGGGGGATCCAAGGTCCAAGGAATCATCAACAGCTGCCAAAGGAAGGTTCCAGGCAGCTCACTGGGGCTATCGTATCCCTCTGAGTCGCTGCGTTGGTCACACCCATTCTGGGCACGGGCGCGAGGCGCAGAGGGAGGCGCCCGGCAGGGTTGGGTGGGGACTCAGATGGCCACGCGCGCGATGTGAGCAAAGACTCCTCCACAGACAGATGCACTGGTCGAACGTGCGCCTTGATGTGGGAGTAGCGCCCCGCCCAGCCCCAGCCTGGCCCGCGGGCTCAGGCCGC